CTATTCCATATAGCATGGCCCATACTGTCTTTCCAGGACTCGACGACGTCGAAAAAAAAACTTGATTTAGAAGGGCTAATAATGCGCTTTAAGCAGCGAGTGCAGAGGCAGTGCGGCCTCCACCACCCCGCCTGCCGCTGTGACAAGTCTCTTGTTTTGCTTTATTTCTGGCCGTCCAAGGCCGCGCCTTGCGTAAGTGCCCCGAGGCGATGGCTTTTAGCCAGGCATCCATTACACGGGACTTTTTCTTTGCGTTAAACCACCGTATGCCGAAATGTGTCAAGAGCCATGCGAAGCGGATCGATGCTATGCTATACAGTAACGACACGATCATGTGTCATTCGTGATCTCGATACTCCCTGTTAATACTCATACTCGTATCCTATTTGTGGAAGATATGCCTGGACATAAATCTGTTAAGACAGAACATTGAGTTGTTGCAAAATGCTGAAATGTTAACAAGCCATGTGAAGAAAAATCAGTAAGCAGAATGGCTGACGCTTTGGGCGGGTATCTTTCACACGCAGGTAGAAGTGTTGTGGCTGGATCATTTATCAGGTTGAAGAGGAGGAAGCTGAATGTCGTTTTGAAGGTATGGCATTTTTGTAGCCGAGACAAAAATAATTCACAAGTCTATCTAGTGTGCAAAGATTGGTGAGCAGCCAAGCTATACCGCTCGACTGTATTTGTATTTGTTCCGGGAATTAAGAAAAGCAAATGAAGATGAAATGTATGCTGTTAGTAAACATACAGCACCATATCTACATGCCGTGTGTTTCATGTAGTGACTTTGGTACATGTGCTTTTTATTTTTCCGTCTTGATTACTGTAAATGTACTAAATCAGTCTTGTGTCCCTTCCTCTTTAACCCACATACCTCACACCCTCCTAATCAGTTTTCTGCTTGGTGTCTTTATCTTTAAACCCACATACCTCACCCCCAAAGTGGGGCACTGCGGCCTGCGCTCTAGCCGTCTCGCTATGGTAGGAGGGAGCTCGCATGGAGAGTGATCACGAAGCTTATTGTGGGCTCTGAGGAGTGCATGCTGTGAGACGACGCGTCGAGTGTTTTGCTTTCATTCCGCTGTGATATGTATAGCGTATGAGAGGGTTGTCTGGTGCGCTCATTATTCTCGAGGGATCGGACTGAGCTTATGATTGACGACTTGGGCTGGGAGATGCGTATCAGAGTAGAGGACACCTCCTCTCGCGCCGAATGAATAGGCTTGGGTAAGGATATCACTACAGACTGTCGGGAGACTAGAGTGTAAGTATATGAGATATGGATTGGGCGTGATTTGTTGTAAGGTGATATTGTCTATAGGTTGAGTATCACGGTCTATGTCTGTATCTCTGCGATGATACTAGGAGGTTCGCGGCATGTGGTCGCTGGGGTATCTGTTACATGTGGTATGTGGCTCCGTGGATGCTGACTCGAGTACTGTGAAGGTGTCTGGTTGTGGTAGGGTGAGTTGCTAGATGTGACGTGATAGATCTCTCTTGCATCGGTCTGCTCAATATACGGGGTCTGATAGTTGCCTCGGACTCACGCGTATGAGCTCAATCACTCTTAGGGATGGGTGTGCGACTGCTGTGGGATGGAAATTCGCTGTGTGAGGGTGCGTGGAGGTTGAGAGATGTTCGTCTTAGCGCGAGTATGCTCGGGTTGGCAGTCGTGAGTAGTTCTGTTGTATGGTCGCGGAGTTATGCTTGAGGTAAGCAAGACCAGGTATTTAGCTGTGCTACAGTACGCCGGGTGGAGAGGATCTCTCAGGTTAAGGTATATGGGCGATAGATTATTAAGAGATGTGACTGAGATGTTGGTGTAGCGCGGATGTAGAGGGCTTATATGGCACTGGATGTGTAGTGATAGTACACCCGTGTGTGTGGTCGGTGCTTAAGGCCGGCTCATCGTTCAGATAGGGTACTTGATAATATTTAGGTGGAAGGATTAGAGGAGGGTTGATGTTCACGTTGAGGGAAGATGAGTTGGTTGTGTATTGTGTGTAGTAAGGCAAGTGGCTGGCTTTCTCAGGTGTGGTGTGTGGTACGTGTGTAGAACATATATCGACATATTACGGGTGCTATCTAGCCATTACAATGGGTTGTTGTAATATATACATGGGTATTCTTGTGGGGGCTGTTTGTCGCTTAGATAGTGGAGTTGTGAGTGTTATTGCTATGGATATCATGTGTGAACTGAGGTGATTCTAGAGATTGGTGGAGATGCGGGGACTAATATATAATCTACGTTAGGATATATATATAATAATATATATTTATATTGGTTGGGTGTGGGTGTGTGTTTGTGTGTGATGTGTGTGGTGGGTTATATGATAATATCATATAGTACATTATCGTACATATTTATATAATATTATATTACTATATTTTTTTACTATATATATATCATTATATCTAATTGTAGTGTATATTGTTTATACTATATAATATATTATATTATCTATATATAGATTATATCATATATATATAGAGTATTTCTCATATCAGAGTGGGTGTATCGCTTCATTAATTGTATATTGGATAGTCTATCATACATTGTGAGAGGTAATTTTATTATGTATTTATTATGAGGGATAAATTTCTTTTGGAAGTTATAATAAGCAATCTTTGCTGATGCATCTACGTCCTATTGGGGAGGACGATAAGGTTCTATAGTCTCTGTTGTTAATCGTGAGCGTGGTGAGAGATCAATATATGTATGTGCTTGTGGGGTCACAGCACAGAGTACCTAGCATATGTAGTCACACGAGGTATAGTGTTGGGCTCGGGGGCGTCGTCAGACGAGTCTTCAGCTAGATAGTATGCAGGACTGTGGTGTAGTATCGTTATTGAGTAGACAGTGTATGTAGCTCTTAGAGAGTGAGGAGATTAGTGGCGAGACACATCTATATCTCGTTCTCTGAATAGTCATGTAGGCACGCATATGTAGTGTCACGATGCAGTCGCTGAGATTGCGGTAAGTTTTTCTGTGGCTGCATATTCTCGTGTGATATTTGTATTACGTTGTACCGTAGCGGATCCATCGCGCGGAGTTGCATGATCAATGCGAAGAGATGTGTGTCGAGATCTTACACTAGGTAGTTATAGATCCACATCTGTGTGGATGTGTGATCGTAGGGTACCTGAGTTGTGAGACAGTGTGGGAGTGTGTGCTGGGAAGCAGGTTCGGTACAGTAATGGAGAGAGGCAGCAGGTGTCAGATTGGCAACTCGATGAGACTCTCTCATCCATGTGTGAAGCGTAGAATAGTCGGAGACATCATCGGAGGAGTTGACGAGTGTGAGTGTACACGGGAGAGGAGTTGGAAACATGGGCATTTACATACCTATGGGCCAAATACGTTGTATTCATCTTATAGCGACAAGTTGTTAAACGATTACTAAGATCATACGAGGTGTATAGCACACTCTCTCACTCAACGTGTATTGCGGCATAGTATGAGGTAATGATGGAGGGCACTACAATAACCATTGTAGTATATAGAGTGTCTGTTGGTAGTTTGCTACAGTAGATGTAGGATACTCTATGAAGTCCCATAGATGGATCTGGTGTACCACTCACGCGTTATCGCTGGTGAGTAGGTCGTGTGAGGATTGTTACGCTGATTGGATTGGTAAGTCTGACGACTGATGAGTGAGATGATGTCAGTCACTCAGCGGTGTGTTGAGAGGGTGGAGTGCGGGGGGAGGCCTGTCAGGGAGGGAAAGTTGATGCTCGGCTGAGCGTATAATACGTCACTCCTATCGACAAAATTCTTAGAACACATCCTACAGCTGGGCATCCAGCGGCGTGGCGTCGGGGCAGCACGTGGGACGCGGGGACCTCTCACTGACTGGGACCGTGGGCTTGCCTGCCATTACTTATTGGGGAAATATAAAATACACCAATATGTTCTGGGGGTATTCAGATAGCTTCTAATGAGGGCTCCTCTGAGTAACAGCCTAAATCCTATTACTACTGGCTTTAGCGTCGTTAGAACCAAAGTCGAAGGGCCCGGTCGATGTAACAAAGTCACGGTGGCACATGCTATGACATGCCGAAATAAGATTTATATGCAATTTCTTCATATAACAAAAATAGCTACTCCGCTTTCACGAGCGATAGTGCTCATGGACTACTGAAATTTCAATGTAATATAAATACATAAAATTTTATATCTCTTTCATATCACATTTTTTGAGGTGTGATCGTCCATCGGGGCGTGCTCTTAGTGGCATTCCGTGTGGTTGTGTGTGAGGATGCCGCGGGCCGCAGAGAATAATAGATTTACGCTGAAGGCCGGTCGCACTGTTAAAGAAGCTGTAAGCGCTATTTACAGTCATTATACAGAGTGGATCAATATTCGATATATGTCTGTTGTGTTGTGTGCCGTTGGTACTTCCAGGCGTTTGTGAGTACTGTAGTGGGTATATATTGTATAGTGTATCAATTGGATGAATACTTGTGATCTGACTCATATATGTGTTAAAAGAAAATAAAGGAGCGGAATATCAGGTTTTAGGAATTACTAACGAACAATGATAGATATCACATCACATTTACTGGCAACAAACAATAATACATATTATAGAAGGAAATGAAGGTTTTAGCAAGATATAACATTTACAGATTCCTACTACGGCAATAATAGCAGAGTAATTTATTGTAATTGAACTTAATGAGACTTTTGCAGTTACGAGAACAGGACTCTGCAATGGACATGACTAAGGCACATGTATACACGTTTTCTTAGGGCTTTGAGCGATATGTCTTTAGGCAGAGACAAGAGCAGAAGCAGGGCGGCGGGCGCGCATCAACTCCAGCAAGGATGGCTCCCGAGGCTGCGATGCCCGCCCTCGCCGCTGCCCTGAGGTGAGGGTAGACCAACAACAATTTTGGAATGTTCTATAAACTACACTAATCTTGATAAGTCATGATAATACAAGGGTCACCTAAAAATAACGGGTCAGAAAAACTAAAAACTCTGTATCATTGCAAGGTAATCCATTGTACTATAGAGGACATAAATCAACAGCTACCTCATTATTTGGTTAGTATGTTCGAACTACCAAATCACTGCCAAGGGTTAGAGTTCATCCTCCGACGTCCGACCATGAGCCTAACCTGAGAGTGTCCCTCAAGGCTCAGAATCGTTGTACTAATCCCGAAATACCTGACAGTCGTGCGCTAACAATCAACAGTCAAATTAATAATGGTGTCTTTTGTAACTAAAATTTATAAAGTCACAACCGAAAACCAACATAACATCAAGTGAACCAATAATTATTCACTAAGCTGTGAGCAATTCCTATACTTCACAGGTAAAAGATAAATGAACAAAACTGTTCTGTATATAAACTTGGTCCGTAGGTGCAAGATATATACAGGCTGGGAGGAAGCGATACGCCAAGGGACTTTTCAGTCACGAATCCCGTCTTTCTGTACTCTAGCGAATAAGAAACTGCACTTGCCCAACAATCCATTCTATACAAAAATCAGATGGCATAGTCTCGTTGGTTGTTGCGGCCACGTTAAAGGCTGAGGTAGGTCCGTGTGGTGTCGAGAGCGTCTTGAGGGGGCGGGGAGGCGTTCTGCTTCTCCCACTGACTGAGGGCAGCGTCCACCAGCATGTACAAGCACTTGAACTTGTCGGCATCATCTTCTGGGGGCGTGGGCGGCGGGGTGACCTGAGCGGGCGTGGTGTAGGGGTGATGAGCATATTCTGTCTGAGGAACGTAGTGCTCAGGTGTGGACGGCGGGTAGAGGGGAGAGTCGTGGGGGGTGTAAGCGGGGGAGTGTGTTGTATCGGTGTATATTGGGGAATTTGTTGTGGTAGTGGTTGCTGGTGCTGTGACTTCCGAAGCAAAGTTGGGAGCTGAAGTGGGGGTGGTGGGCGTAGGTGCTGTGGGTGTGGTGGTTGAACCATTGTAGGCTGGAGTGTGGTCGGCGTCGGAGCCACAGCCGCAGGGGCACACGGCCTCGTAGTGGGGCTTGGCTGACACTCTCTGCTGCTCTGCCACCCACGACGCCACTCGAGACTCCATAGAGAAGTCGTAGTCGTGGTCGGGGAGATCGGCGGACTCCCATCTCGGGCGCGCGCGGGCGTAGTCGTTCTGGGCAGGACGGGAGTATTCGTCGTGGTCGATGCGGTCTCGGGGAGACACGCCCTTCAGCTTCTTGGCCCGTCGGGTGATGGTGTACTTCTCGGGGTCATGGCCCTCGCGGCGGATGATCTCCGGCAGAATCCTTCGCCGGGCGTTGATGAACCAGTTGCACACCTGGCGGGAGGAGACGGCGTATGGATGAAGGCAATAGAGGCGCCAATAGTAGTAGTAATGAATCCTACAACTACTACTAATTATTATTATCATAATAACAACAATAAGATGAAACAACGAGTGAGTGAACTAGAGAATGAGCGAAAGCGAGGGAGAGGGAGAGAGAGAGAGAGAGGGAGAGAGAGAGAGAGAGAGAGAGAGAGAGAGAGAGAGAGAGAGGAGAGAGAGAGAGAGAGAGAGAGAGAGAGAGAGAGAGAGAGAGAGAGAGAGAGAGAGAGAGAGAGAGAGAGAGAGAGAGAGAGAGAGAGAGAGAGAGAGAGAGAGAGAGAGAGAGAGAGAGAGAGAGAGAAGGAGAGAGAGAGTGAGAGAGACTGAGAGACTGAGAGAGAGAGAGAGAGAGAGAGAGAGGACTAGAGAGAGAGAGAGAGAGAGAGAGAAGAGAGAGAGAGAGAGAGAGAGAGAGAGAGAGAGAGAGAGAGAGAGAGAGAGAGAGAGAAGAGAGACTGAAGAGAGAGAGAGAGGAACGAGAGACTGGAGAGAGAGAGAGGAGAGAGAGAGAGATGGAGAGAGAGAGAGAGAGAGAGAGAGAGAGAGAGAGAGAGAGAGCAGACAGAGAGAGAGAGAGAGAGAGAGAGAGAGAGAGAGAGAGAAGAGAGGAGAGAGAGGAGAGAGAGAGAAGAGAGAGCGAGAGAGAGAGAGAGAGAGAGAGAGACAGGACGAGAGACTGAGAGAGAGAGAGAGAGAGAGAGAAGAGAGAGATGAGAGAGAGAGAGAGAGAGAGAAGAGAGAGAGAGAAGAGAAGAGAGAGATGGAGATGGAGAGAGGATGAGAGAGATCGAGAGAGAGAGAGAAGAGAGAGAGACGAGAGAGAGAGCAGAGACTGAGAAAGAGAGGAGAGAGAGAGAGAGAGAGAGAGAGAGAGAGAGAGAGAGAGAGAGAGAGAGAGAGTGAGAGAGAGAGAGAGAGACGAGAGAAAGAGAGGAGAGAGGACGAAGAAGATGAGAGAGAGAGAAGGGACGAGAGACTCTGAGAGAGAGAGAGAGGACGAGAGGACTGAGGAGAGAGAGAAGAGACGAGAGACTGAGAGAGAGAGAGAGGACGAGAGACTGAGAGAGAGAGAGAGACGAGAGGACGAGAGACTGAGAGAGAGAGAGAGAGGACGAGAGACTGTGAGATAGAGAGGGATGAGGGAGGAGAGAGACTGGAGAGAGAGAGAGGACGAGAGACTGAGAGGAGAGAGGACGAGAGACGAGAGGACGAGAGGAGACGATGACAGAGAGAGAGAGGAGAAGGAGAGAAGAGGAGAGAGAGGTAACGAGAGACGTGAGAGAGAGAGAGAGAGAGAGAAGAGAGAGAGCGAGTTAAAGAGAGAGTAGGAGAGGAGGTAGAGCAGAAGAGGCCAGAGAGAGAGATGATGAGAGAGAGAGAGTGATTGAAGATCTGAGAGAGAGTGTGAAGATTACGAGGGCGGCAGAGTAGATGTGTAAGTTGAGTTAGTATTGTAGGAGAGCGTAGAAGAGAATGGTATTTAGACTGTGCGGAGAGCAGGAGGCACTGTGAGAGTCACGGATAGAGACGAGAGAGAGAGCAGAGGTGATCGGGACGATTTCAGCACGCGAGGAGTATGAGACCTGAGAGAATGCTGTAGGTGGAGAGAGAGAGAGGGATCGGAGAGTATGCTGAAGAGAGATGGGAGCGACGAGAGACTGAGAGAGAGAGAGAGGAACGTAGAGACGGCGATAGAGAGGAGTGTGGGAGTGTGAGATGTGGAGGTGGATTTAGACGTGTTGCTGGCACGAGGCTGGCCTAGTGAGTATTGTTACTAATTGTTGGCACGGAGAGATGGAGAGGAGAGATTGAAGTGGATCTGAGAGACTTGGAGTAGATGAGAGGATGTTGTAGGTCCGAGATTGAATGCGGGTTCGGTTCTGGATCGACGAGATCTAGGGCGTTTATATCACTAGTCGTTGCGGTTCGACAGATGCAGTCACGAGAGAGTTAGGCGGACGTGAGACGATGATTAGATCGACTAGGTCGAGGAGCAACTAAGGGAGAGAGAGTAAGAGGAAGATGAGTTATCAGAGGTAGCGAGAGATCTGGAGAAATGGGTAGAGGCGAGAGAGTAAAGGAGAGGAAATGAGAGAGCGCACCGGAATTTGACATATACGCGAGTGTATCATAGGCCGGCGACAGATCGAGCGCACGGAATGAAGTGTTCGATGGAGAGCTTAAGATTCCAGACGTGCAGAGTTTGCATTGTATAGTAGGGAGATGTGCGTAGCGCACATAGGTGAATGATGTATCAGGTAGAGAGTGACTGTGAAAGGGAGAGAGAGAGGGAAGACTCAGTGAAAGGGAAGAGAAGACTGTGAAAGAGGAGAGATGAGAACTGTGAGCAATGTGGACGAGAGAGATGCTCGTCGCATTAGTGTTTTTTGGAGGACTATGGTCTTTAGAGAGCAGGGAGATGCGAGGGCACACAGAGAAGAGACACTGTTGTACAGACGGAGGGTGTGTGCGTACAGATGTGCTAGTCTCGTGCTGGCATAGCGAGAGTACATGAGAAGGAGGTTGCAGGAGAGTGAGGATCGGTTAGTTGTGTGTGAGTGTAGGTTGAGGAAGGTCAACTGATTCTATGGGTATGTACTGTGGCAGAGAAAGTATTGCACTGGGAGTGAGTGTAATGGGGCGGTGGTTGTGTGTGATGTGAGGCAGGCGCTGGAGTTTGGTGATGTGTAGGTGGGTGTGGCGCTGTGGTAGTAGTGCGATATGTTGAGTGGACATGCTCTGCGTGGTCAGAGTGCGGAAGCGGTCTGCGCTCTCTGTCGGACGGGGTAAGCATTGGGTAGCGGGGATCGGTTGTTAACATGGCATTTTTTCAAAATTTTGACCGACTCTTTGGGCAGGTTTCCGCGGCGCTTCCTCGCTGCCGCTGCGGCTGCCCTCAAGTAGGAGTCATCTCCGCCCGAGGAAGGGTCGTCTGTGCTGGACGAGGAGGACCTCTCGCGACCTGAGGAAAAGGAAGCCCACGTTAGAGTTCTCATTCACAAATCGCGTGGTGTCGCAGATCATTTGGCAACACTCGCTATGGTAAACTAAGGGGAATAATAACTCGCTGCGGCAACTAGGCTCAGCACAAATATATGGTTCACCCCGTCGGATCAATGGTGACATATCATCTGTACATTCTTCTTTACACTTGGAGCCCATATTTACCCCTGGCATCCTTCCATCCACTTGGGGCTTCCTGCGCCAAAATATCATTGAGCAGAGTATTCAATCACGTACAGGAATGCGACATTCCGTTCCTGTGACAGCTGTGAAATGTTCGCCTAATTATAAGCATTGGTTCAAATTCATGGCGAGCCCTTCATATTGTTTTGCGCCTGCCTCCAGACCACTAGATCTAGACACAAACAGAACACTGAATTTTAGGACACATCCCCTGTATATCATCCTAGGTAAACACCATGCTCATTGAAGAAATTTAGTCATTCACTGCGCAGTCTTCAGCCATTACAAGTCAACCATTTAAATAATCTGACAAGATGCTACACTCATCACTATCATCAGTTTCCCCATGCTATTACACAGAAAAGATACGTCTGTCCTACATTTTTCGAAAACGGATTTTTCAGGATATACTTGTCTAAATATATGTGCATCTCTCACTGTCACTTGCTTTGGCTATCCATCATGCCCCTAACTATGGATACATAAATACAGTGGGTGGGGTAACTATGCCTTTAGCTGATGGAGTGCACGTCGTTAGGTGACAGGAATGCCAATCGTGCCAAGTCTTATCTTTCCAAAGTTACTGAGTGCTGCACCAAGTAGTTACGGTAACGTGTAAATACCCGACGCAGATGGAACCGAGAGATTTTGAGTACTTACATTTAGGCTGAAAATACTGCAGATTGTTAATTTCTATGAATGCCTAAAATGAGTTCGTTTCTGATGACTATAATCACAGCTTTTGATTGAATTAATTTAATTCTGATAAATGCACGTTGGCGACGCAACTTATCAGCGCACACAAAAGTATGAAGATATATTAACCGATTTGGACTACATATCCCACCAGTAAAACAGTAAAGGACAAGATTCTTGTCAGTATCACTACGAATCTTATCACCGGGACAAGGGCACGTTTACGCAGTCTCTGTGCAAGGGCGGGAGACTACTCTAGGGAGTTACCTTAAATGGTCATCATGAGCATTTCGAGAGTCCCACACGGTTCCGTGTGTGAAGAGAATCCATACTCCAGAATCCATACTCCATAAAGTGAGGTACCCAAGTGGGAAAATAGGAACTGACAATGTACACGTGGGGTCACCTCACAATGGCCCCGCTGCAAAAGTGGGGTCTGCAACACCAAGTGGACAACAATGGCAAAGGCAGCAGGAGTCTCTTGCAATCATCATCTTGACTGATGCAACTGCTTGAGCAAGGTCACAACAAGTACGCTGGGAGACTGCAGTAAACATCAAATTCGTGCTCGTACACGTACGTACGCAAAGTCATGACCCCCGGAGTGTGTGAGCTCATGTTCTTATACACACTCAAAGAATGGAAAAGATACGACTTTTGATAAGATGATGCTTAGGGCGGGTGTTTATCTCGACGCCATCCTTCCATTCGAATCGCCTTCACTCTTACATACCCAGACGAGGAGGTCAGTAGTACCCCCTCCCCCCAACCCTCAAGCGATGCCCCGCCAGTGTCACAGTAACCTTGACGAGGATTCGTGTTGGCGCCTCTCTCGCCGCCTCAGACAACCGCACCTTCCTTTATACTTCGAACGCTTTGCCGTGTTCTCATTCTGCCACAGAATTTAGAACGTAATACTGCTGTGTTGTCTTGAGCCATTTCTACTCATACAAAACTATCATGGCACTCCACGCCCTGTGTCATTTTGGCGTTTCTGTTAAAACGGCTTATAGCTAGATGCTAGTCAGTTGTTACTGTACCTGGCCGTTCACTATGCGCCACCCACCCTGGGCAGAGTGGCCGTACTACCGCTGGCCCCGGGACGACACACGCGGTACCTCTGTCATACACGCACATCTCAGGACATTCACAACGCGCCCGCTCTACTGCATTTCCCATACCCCTTGATTTCCCAGTTTAAGTCACCTAAAACTCTATGTAGAGCATCGTTACCTAGTTGTTTCCCTAGTAAACAAGCGATAAGAAACCAAGAGATAAGTTATCAAAGTCCTTGCCCAGTCCTGCCAACTGTCAGTTGAACACTCCCTCGTGGCGTGGCCGACCACGCGCGGAGCCCTCCTTACCCTCACTCCCTGCCTCCCCAGGCCTGTTCCGCGGCGCGTATGCTAGCCGTTCCGCTACCAATATGGGGCGACGGTGTTACAGCACTATACTCAGTATCCCCTCACCAGGAAAACAAAAGCGTTTTTTATATGTGAATGTAACATACTCGTGTTTTGATGTTGGGAGTGACACAGCATATTCTTTCCACAGTCTGTGTATAGAGATTAGCTTAGACACTTCCAATTAACAAAATTGCAGAACTTGCGCCTTAAGTCTTGCTTGTTTGATATGCCACCGGGCAAGACAGCAGCACGGGGTCATTGAACAAGGTCCCTCAGAGTCCTTGCATCCCGCTGAAGATGAGCAGCAGCAACTTCCGCGGTCGCCTCATAGGGAAGGCGCCAAATCCCCCAGACGCAGGGACGGTGTCGTATGGTCGACCTAGCTGGTTCAAGTAGCGCCCCCCCCCCTTCCCCTCACACACACTGCTTATACAAAACAGGTTCTGACACTTGCTTGGTTCTTTCATCCACTGGCGCAACAGTACGATATGCAAGCGTCATAGTCTGCGATCTATTCTATTGAGCAAAATTTAACGCCAGGAGTCTCGTGAACTCTGTGTTTGACAAGAACACGTTCCTGGTAATTATAGGTTTATATTCTTCCCATGTGGCCTGATTCGAATGGTTCGCTTATGTATGTGCCTCTAAATACGCACTATGATACGATTCAACAAGGATTAAAAGCAGACTAGCCATCTAAATTCCCTAAACACACAACAACCAATTATAGATGAGACAAAATCACAGAGCGGTTACACTAAGCACATCACAAATCGTTTTTAAAAGGCACTGCGATTTATCCTCAAAACATGTGATCTTTACAACGCCAATATGATTCGTCAAAATGTCGAGTGAACAAGGGGAGAACACTCTCATTCGCTGCGGACCAGTTTAGAGTGATGGATGAAAGGCCTACAAACTCTCGAAATCGCTTAAAGCTCCAAACTCCTTTCGGGACCAACATCAATGACAACATAAGCACTGACTGTGTAGAGTCGAATCACTTTCATCAGCAGCATACAAAAAATCGTTCATCAAACTCAGCCTACAAACATTAACACCGCATCTCACCTGTTACATAAAGTTCTCCATCCTGGGAGTTGTCTGAGAAGTAATGCATGATGGTTTGAATATGAGCTCTGAAGTAGAGGCCGTCTCACTGCAGCGTAAAGGCACTTTCTGAGGAGTTCCGAGCGTGGTCTTGGGCGGGCAGGCAGGCCGAGCAGCGGGAGGCGGCGAGGCTACCACGAGCTTTCAACTGTCAACTCCTGGCTGTCACTTCGCGACGCGCATCGTGCTGTTTGAGGATGACTCTAGCAGCGTTCTCTTACTTTTTTCTCAAATATCGAGAAATACTCATGAAGTGGCCTAATTCTGGCTCCTACGAAGTGAAAAAGGCACAGCTGGAGTAAGATACTGACACACTGAAGTATACCACGTGGGGCCACTACACAACGCGCGCCAAACACGACCCTCTCAGTTCAAAATAACACTTTCACGTTCACTTCACTAAATGTCACTCGCTCTAGACAGGATCTCTCATCAGCCAAGCAAAGATCGACAACAGATTACTGCAAAGTACGCGATGAGAAGTTGCAAAATGACAGTTTGAAAGAAACTTGGTGGCACGCGGTCCCACACGTTCGCCTCGGAGAGCACCCACCACGTGACTGATGGTGGAGCCCGTCCTGGTCCACAGCAGACCTTGAGACCCGGCGCGGGGGAAGGGGGGGGGACGGGGGAAGGAGCGAAGCGCGCGGGTACGCACTCTCAAATCGTAGGGAGAATGTGTGAAAACCATTTATTTTTATGAAGATTTCTCCATTACTTTATTTCACTTTCCTGTCAAGCAACTGCCACGACTGATTTGAAAATTGAGCAAATGTTTTTCGCAGTATGCATGAACATGAGAAATAAATAATTGTAAATTGTGCAGGTACTATGAACCACCACGTGAGAGTCTAATCCCAGTCATGACCGCAGGATGAAGCCGGGATCGGGAAGTAGAGGGATGCTGTCTGCCCCAACTCCCATTATGCTCCGTCTGGCCTCCCAGGACGGCCCAGGAGGTGACAGTTCCTTTATCTTGGCGCTGCTCTCTTGTAAAGCCCGCGTCTTATCCAAGAATTGTTCAGAGGTATCATTATGAACGGAATGGTGAAAGGTATCAAAGGGACGGAAAATCGAAGCCATCGGCAGCGCGTACATTTGCAAAGGAGACGAGCAGGGCGCCTGTGGGGACTTTAAAAAAAGCTCTGAGGCTTGCCGTGGAGGAGAGGCCAGGGACACGAGCCATGGCAAACAGCAGAGCTCGCGCAGAACCAACTTCTACCTTCTCGTAGATTCTTTTATTCTTTTTTGCGTACTACCACGAGGCGAATGTCATGGCACCAGTGTTTACACTTGCCTCCCCGCCACTGACAGATCTCCGCCTGCTGGCCTGTCGGGACAAGAGGGCTGAAGCCACTTTCTAGGGGCCCGTTTTTAAACTGATAACTTATCTGGCAGCTCCACAACATCGTAGATTAGTAGCATGTCGTTAAATTGTGTCGGTTATCTCCGAAGCATAACCACAATTCAATAACTTGATAAAGCCTACATTCATAAGTAGCCCGTCTAAAACGTGCTAGATAGTGGCCTGGCTGAGATAAGATGGGCAGTGCGGGAGACGTGT